AGGCCCGGTGCACGAAATTCATGCATGGGGGGAAGGCCCTTAGCCCAGCCTGCACCCTTTCCAATCTGGGACATCCCTTTCACAATCTAGGACTACTGGCTCCTAACTACTCACCTGCCTGCCTGATTGCCCATAACTGCCCCTCACTGCCAGCCTGATCACCCCTAACCACCTCTGCCTGCTGGCCTGATTGTCCCTAACTGCACACACACACACACACAACTTCCCCCCCACGCAGCCTGCTGTTCAGTTGTTTGGTCGTCCCTCACTTCTGGACTTGTTGCCCCATGCAGCCTGCTGTTTGGTTGTCTTTCTAGTTGTTTCAGTTGTGACAGCCCTTGACTTTTTATATATTAGGATGCATATATATATTTATAATATGTTTTTATTTATTTCATAGAGGGGAAAGGAAAGGGAGAGATAGAAACGTCATATATGTCCAAGTATGAAAGTACTATATTCGTTTTTTATATATTTTTATTGATTTCAGAGAGGAAGGGAGAGAGAGACAGAGATAGAAACATCAATCATGAGAGAGAATCATCAATTGTCTGCCTCATGCATGCCCCTTACTAGGTCTGAAACCCAGGAATGTGCCTCTACTCCCAGTAGATGGCTTGCAGGAGGCAGCCAATCAATGATTCTCTCTCATCATTGATGTTTCTATCTCTGTCTCTCTCTCTCCCTTCCTCTCTGAAATCAATCAAAATATATATAAAAAGAATATAGTACTTTTATACTTGGACATACATATATATGAATTTTTGGGGGTTCTTTTTGATATAATTTGTTATGAATTTTTGGGATTTTTTAATATAATTTGTTGTATTTTATAATAGTTGCTGATTTTTCAGTAATGCATGAGTAAGATAAATGTATAAAATTGTGGATTTAATTATAAAAATTCTTTCATATTTAAGTTTCAGTCATTTTCTTTTATCTCTATGTCAGTGTGCAGAATGTAAAAATAGTTTACAAAAAAAGAAGATACAGATCAGTTCTTTTCCTCTTTAAATAAAGAACTCTGTACTATTAAAAAATAATTGAGATGTTTTACACTCCTTTTCATACTAAGTCTTCACACCTAGTGTGTATTTTACCCTATCATACATCTCAATTTGGACAAGCTACACTTGAGGTACTGAAGAGCCACATGTGGCTAGTGGTTATTGTATTAAACAGCATAGGAATAGAATCTTCTGATTGGAAGTAGGAATTCCAAGAGGAATTCTTTAAACCAAGGAGTCATGAATAGATTTATTTTTGAGGATGTTGACTGTTGATAATGTTAGAGATGGACGGAAGAGGAGAAAGAACTAAGGACTGGGAATTTGAAGGGTTTTTGTAGCCAAAACCAACAAAGAACTGGATTATGGTAAAAGACAAGGATAATGCCAGGAGCTATTTCTGTGTTGTACTTGCTATGTGTCAGGCATGGTGTTGCACCCCTCATACCCATATCTTTTTGTTTGTTTGCTTGCTTATTAATTCTTACCCAAAGATATTTTTCTGTTAAATTTTAGAGAGTGTAAAAGGGAGAGGGGGAAAAGGGAAGAGAGAAACATAGATGGGAGACACATCGGTAGGTTGTCTTCCCTGGGAAGAAATGCATCCCGACTGAGGCTGGGGACGATTCTGCAATCCAGGTATGTGGCCTTGCTGGGAATTGAACCTGTGATCCTCTGGTGCTCGGGTTGATGCTCTAACCATTGTGCACTCACTCAAGGCACTCACACCAGTATCATAATTCTTGCAAGAACTCTGAGAGATGGAGGCTATTATCTCCACCTACAAAGAGGAGGAAATGAGGACATAAAAAGTACAAGTACTGTGCTTGTGTTCCAGAGCTCATAAGTAGCAGAATCAGGATATAAACCAGACCTGTCTGGCTCCTTTGGACTGTGTCTCACACAGATGGAGACAAGAGGTCAGATTTAAAATATTCTTAGACTTATAGGATGTGATAGCAGCTGGATAAAAGATAGAAATGAGGCCTGAATAAAGGATACACAAGTGATTTGGAGATCGGATCTCTTGCTTGGAAATCTGTACACATGGTGAGAAGTGAGATGAATATCTAGGCAGTAGAACATGGTGGCTCAATTTTCGTTTTGCTTGTTTTGTTTAGGTTTATTTTTCTTGAGGGGTGAATGCCAAAGTAAGGAGGCAGAAACTATGTGTGTAGTTTTTAAAAACCTACAGGGACCAGTGGCAGTTGGAAGTGATGGGTTTAGAGCTTGGCAGATAATTCAAGCCTCCTCAGGGTGATTTGGAGGTCACTTGGGTACAGGAGATTGCAAAGCCCTGGACAGGGCTGTGTTTGCTCCCTGTGGAGAGGTTTTAGAGGCATGAGTCTAACCTCCTTTGGGGCCTGAATGACTCTGAGACTCGCCAAGGAGTTGGAGAGAGCCACTTGACTGGTAACCTTGGTGCAAGTGGTTTGGGCAGAATGGGAGGGTGAAATAGAGCCTTCAGCATGCATGCCAAAGACTGACTGGGCAAGGAAGTTCAATAAGTGGGATGGTGGAGGCTGGCTCTGCGGAGGAGAGGGGAGGTGAAAGGGTAGAGGGCCAATTAAGAGGATGATTTCTATACTTATGAAAGTTAAGTAGTATTTTAAGTAAAGTCAGATGAAATTTTATTGTCCAAGATTATCATAGAAACCAACACATAATATTAAAGCAGTCCTTTTGTTTAAAAACGGATAAATACAACTTCTACCAACTTTATGATGATAATTGCATCGCGTCAGTTCTCATATAAAAAAAAAAGTTCTTAGAAACTTTTTATTTAGGCTCCTGAAATCTCATAGAAAGAAAATAAGGTACGTCTCCCCGAACTCTCCTGAGTGTTATCAGTGTGTGCCTGCATGTGTGCCCTCCCATATCCTAGGGAGAGGGTCAAGATGGGAATAGGGAGATCTGTGTACTTTATTCCCAGTTTGACAATGGTTACGAAGAAATAATTGTTGAAATTTTATATTTTGCACAATCATAGCCACTCTTTCTTTAGTGAAGTGATTGACTTTATACTTTATAGACTAGAGAAGGCTCAGGTGCTAAGGCCTATTGTTCCTCCTTACTCCTGGGTGACCTTGGCACCCTAAGGTTCCTCGGGAAACAGCTGAGCACCACCAGCGACCTCCAGCATGTCTTCCATCTGGTGTTCAACACCTCTGTTCTGCTGCCCTGCTCAGGAAGATGATGTAAAAGTGACCCTGATCTTGAATAGTTCTGGAAAAATGTGGAATTTTTTAAAATCAAATTCAGTTGGTCCCTTTGGTTGGGCATCATAAGATTGTAAGTGAATTTGCATAGAAATATCCTGGCTCTAAGTCACAAGGCTGATAAACCCAGTTAATGCCAATTAATCTTACTTGTCAAGGGAAACTTATAACTTCTTGATGAAATACTAACAACATTCAAAACATTACTCATAAAGTGAACATTATTAAAACTGTCCTGGGCCAACTGAGGCAGTGCCACAGCCCTGAACCGTTCCAGGGCGCTGTGCCCTGGTTTTCTGTAGCCATTCTACTCAGGCCTAGGATATTTTTCAACAGAGGGAGAAGGAAAGTTTAATAGATTCCTTTCCTCCTTGACCAGGAAGTAAATTTGAAATTTGGCCTGTGGAATTCACTTAAAAATAGAGGAACTTGGAGAACATAGGAAAGGACTAGGAAGCAAACTTGAGAGGGAGATAATTTGGTGACAAGAGTAAAAGTAATTTGAAGACAAATATGACTTCTATGACTGGTACAACTCTGCTGGCATCATTGGGTGGTGGGGAGCATAACATAAACGCAATATATAACCAAACGAATTGCATACAGGGTTTTAGAGAGATATTTGCAGACCAATGTTCATAGCAGCATTGTCTATATATATAAACCCTAATATGCAAATAGATCAAACAGTGGAACAACCAAACAACCATTTGCTATGACATGATGTGTGCTGACCACCAGGGGGCACTCACAGACCGTGGTGGGCATTGGCAGTAGGCGGCAGAACATGGAACATGGTGGGCACAGGCCACAGTGGGATGCTGGAGCAGGTGAGCAGGGGCGCCAGACCAAGGTGGGGTGCCTGTTGCTGTCATCGGGGTGAGCCTCTGGTGTTTACTGAAAATCCTTTGCTCCCACGGACCACAGTTCTGTCTGGCACTCACACCTGCTGCTGGCAGCAGCCCTGCTTGCACCCACTGCCGGCACCAGAACCACCACTCACACCTGCTGTCAGCGCCGGGTGCTGGCTCTAATCGCTTGGTGCTGTCAGTGGCTGTGAGTGGTGGATGCTGGCCCTGATCACCCCTCAGGGCTTCTCCACCTCCCCCTGCTCTGAGGTGCAATCAGGGCTGGCACCTGTTGATGGAGATGGCCTCACTTGCACCTGCCACTGGTGCCAGAGCCGCCACTTGCACCCTCTGCCAGCACCAGCACTGCTCATACCCGCAGCCAGCACCAGAGCTGCTACTCACAATCACTGCTGGCGCCTGGTGCAGGCCCTGATTGCTCAGCGGTGTCAATGGGTGTGAGTGACGGCTGCTAGCCCTGATTGACCCTGAGGGCTTCTTCACCTCCCTGCTCCTGAAGGGCAATAGGGATAGCAGTTGTCACTCACACCCACTGCTGGCACTGGCCCCAATCGCTCTGCACCATCAGCGGGTATGAGTGGGGCCAGTGATGTCTGCCGTGGGAGTGGATGCGATGGAAACTGGGCTAACAGCAGAGAGGGGACCGGGGTAGAGAGGAACACTTTGGGAGGGGCCAGGTAGGGGCGTGGAGGATGGGCCAGGACCCACCCCTGTGCCAACCACAGCCTCATGGCCCATAGTTCCTTTCAAGATGCACGAATTCATGCACTGGGCCCCTAGTTTATTCATAATAGTCAAAAGATGGACATAACCAGATGTTCATCAACGGATGAGTGGATAAAGAAAATGTAGTCTATACAATGCAATATTATTCAGCCTTAAAATGGAGGGCTTCTCCCAGTCTTGGCCTGGTAGCTCAGTTGGTTAGAGTTTTGGCCTGATACGCCAAGATTGCAGGTTCAATCCCTGGTCAGGGCACATACAAGAATCAACCAATGAATGCATAAATAAGTGGAATAACAAACAGTGTTTCTCTCTCTCCCACTCTCTCTCCCTTCCTCGCTCTATTAAAAAAAAAAAAAAAAAAAGGAAGGAAGGAAATCCTATCACATGATAAAACTTGGATGAACCTTGAGGACATTATTATAAGTGAAATAAGCCAGTCGCATAGACACAAGTACGGCATGATTCCACTTGTGTGAGGTGTCTGAAGCAGTTAAACTCTTAGATACTGCAAGTAGAATGGTGGTTGCCAGGGAGTGAGGGAGGGGAAAGAGTTATTGTTAATGGATATAGAGTTTCAGTTTTTCAAGATGAATAGCATTCTGGAGACTTGTGCATGTACAATAGTTAATATTTTTGTACTGTGCCGAAACCGGTTTGGCTCAATGGATAGAGCGTCGGCTTGGGGACTGAAAGGTCCCAGGTTCGATTCCGGTCACGGGCATGTACCTTGGTTGCGGGCATATCCCCAGTAGGGGGTGTGCAAGAGGCAGCTGATCGATGACTCTCTCTCATCGATGTTTCTAACTATCTCTCTCCCTTCCTCTCTGTAAAAAAATCAATAAAATATATATTTAAAAAATATTATTGTACTGTACACTTAAAAATGATGAAAATGGTTCTGGCTGGTATTGCTTATGGTTGAACATCGACCTAAGAACCAGGAGGTCACAGTTCAATTCCTGATGCCTAGGTTGCAGGCTCGATCCCCAGTGAGGGGATGTGTAGGAAGCAGCTGATCAAGTATTCTCTTTCATCATAGATATTTTTGTGTCTCTCTTCCTCTCCTTTCCTCTCTGAAATCAATACAATTTGTTCAGTGAGAACTGTGTTATGTGTCAGGTACTGTGCTGGATGCTGAGGATAATGTGGATATAGGCCCTGACTTTACAGAGCTAACAGGGGCGACAGACAGTAAGTAGGAGAAACAAATAAAGATCCAGTGATGAATTTTAATAAATGCTGTAGAGAAGCAATCAGGGAACTGTGATAGAGGATGACTGATTTGTGTGGAGTTTGAAGACTGACTTAGACATTTAACAAGGTGATCGAAGAAGATCGTACAAGGGCTGTGATACTTAGGGAGAGAGGTGTCACAGACATAGAGGGTCCCAGGTGCCATCCCCACCCAGGCCTTCTGCATTCAGCAAGAACCTCATGTGCCACTAGTGGTCCCATGTGGCATGGCTATAACAAAGAACAAGAAGCAAACGTTCCCTCCTAAAACAAGAAGGTAGAGTTCAAAGAGGCAAAGGGGAAGAAAGCCCAGAACTCCTGTGTCAGAATTGTAAATGAGTGTGTTTAAATGTGTCCCCACATGGCCCTGTGAGGAAAGAACCACAGTGCTGCCAAATTCCGGCAGTGCTCCCTGTCCCTCTGCATCTCAAATTCCTCCTCTGTGCAGGGAGAAAAAGAAAACAGAACTTCTACCCAGATAGATTTCTGGTATTATTAGTGGTAGTAGAATGATTAAAACACTGCTTTCATTGAATTCTCTCTGGTTGGACTACAGTTGAATGCTTGTTCAGTTCTAATTGCCATATTTTGAGAGCGACATGGACAAATTAAAATATATTCAAAGAACAGGTCACTAGAGAATGTGGAATGAATTCAGGATGGTTACAATGCAGAAGTGAATACTAAAGGATGAAATGACAATCAGCAACTTGTGACAGACAGGCTGATATATAGAAAGAGAGTGGACTGATCACATAGTGAAGAGTGTTGCCTTGTTTTGTGTTGGTTTAAAGATAGATCTAAACCTGGGAATCGGGTCCAGGTAAGAAAGAAGCTCTGAAATAGTTGTAAGCGATAATGAGTTTCAGACCATGGAGATGATACTCAAATGGAGACTGGGTAACGGGTTGCTGTAGGGTTTTTGTTTTTTTTTAATGGGAAAGAGATTGCTGTGCATGGATTGTCCCATTCCTCTATTGTGGATGTCTCTTAAGTTATTTTAAAACCATGTCTGGAGCTGAAGGCCTAGGGATTATATTTAGATGCAGATGAAGTGCCCAGAAGCAGCACTACAGAAGTGAAACCCAAAGCCCACCTGTCCTTATTAGAAGTTTGGATGTAAAGTTCTACCTAGTATTCAACCCCAGTCACATACTCTTTAAGGACCTCTGCTTCAACCCCATTAGCCACTCACGTTCTCACTTGTTGCTCTTTGTATTAACAACCCACATACTTTGGAAAACTTTTTCCATTTATATATTTATTCAAATTTTGTTTTTAATAGCACATTTGTAATTTTTTAGAATTTAAAAAGGTTCACATGAAAAGCTTCTGTCTTTCTGTGCCCACGCCCTCCCCTCTCCCCCAGGCAATGACTAGTTTCTCTAGAGATATTTTAAGTGTATATATACATAAGCACAAGAATATGTTGCTTTAAAAATGTCAAGATATCTTGAAGATGACTCCATAGCAATATAAAAAGTGTTCGCTTGTTCCTTTTCACAGGCGCATACTATCCCATTCCTTTTTGGACAGTTAGGTCATTTCCAAGCCTTTGCTTTCACAGTGTTGCCAGTGGCTTACCTTATACATGCTTGAATGCACACATGTACAAGTACACCTGTAAGCTACATTCCTAGAGGCAGACTTGCTGAATCAAAGAGATTGGGCATTTATAATTTTGTTAGCTCTTAAAAAATAGTTCTCAATAGAGATTTTACCAAGTTTCACTCCTACAAGCAGTTTATGAGAATGCCTTATTTCCTTAAACCCTTGTCAGCTAAGTATATTGTCAAACCTTTTGAGCTTTTCCAAAGTGAGTGAAAGAAAGAGAATCAAAGTGATTTTAATTAGCATTTTTCTTACTCTGAGTGAAATCGAGCATCCTTTCTCCTATGTAAAACCTTAATGGGCTTTGAGGGAGGCCATTGAAGAAGGCGCGGAGGAGCGCTGTGCTCACAGAAGAGAGCCAGAGTTCCTTCTCAATGAGTGTGCTTGGGAGGTTCCAGCAGGCCCACTAGCCTTCAGGCTGTTTTAGCCTGTAAACTCTCTGGCCCACACTGGAAAAGTTCAATTAAAACAAATGTAATTCAGAAGTAAAACCATATCCAGAACAAACCATTATATTGCTTTTTTAATTTTTAGTTTTAAATTAAATAAAGTACTTTGCTTTTATACTTGGAACAAGATTTAGGATGCAAATACATTTTAACGGAATGTGCTTAACTTTGGAAGGAGCTGTCTCACACCTCTGAGGGTGCAGCTTTTGACTAGTTGGCCCTCAAGGTGTCCTAGGCTTGCTCCCAGCCTCCCCCCTTCCACCCTTCCTGCAGTTTCTCTGTTGGTTCAAGCAGATTTTGGCAAAGACCAGAGTCTTTTCACTGGGAATACCGGCATTGCATAGCCTCCATGCTGATTAGCAGCCTGACCCATTAGTCCTCTGAAATGCTTCTGACCAAACCTGTTTAGTCCAGTTTTTCACCTAGAAAGGGACCGTCCAGTCTTAGTAGCACAGACCTGACTTAGTATCTTATTTGATGTCAATGCCATGCTTTCAGTTGCTTAGGTCAAAACTCTACATGACAAAGCTCCCCTATGGATATGCTCCATCATTCCCTGAGGAAATCTGGTGGGCTCTACTTCCTAAATGTATTCAGAAACCAGCCACTTCTCTTTACCACCATCTTTGTCATCATGGTCCGAGCTGCTATCTCCTGCCTGGGTTGCTGCCATAACCTCCTGACAGACTTCCTGCTTCTCCACTCGTTTTTCCTGCAGTCTGTTCTCACCACAGCCAGAGAGGCGTCCTGTAGGCCCCAGGTCTGGTCACGTGAGACCTCTGCTCCAGGCCCTCGCATGGCACTGCCAATCTCAGAGAAACCTCAGTCATTACAGTGGCTCTGCTCACTCAGCCTTCTCACCTCTTTGGCCTTGTCTTCTCTTGCTCTCTCTGTGACCACTGCTACTCAGCTGGACTGGCCTCGCTCTGCTTTGAACAAACCAGACTCACTCCCCATCCAGGTCCTCTCACCAGCTGTGCCTCTGGACAGCTCCTCCCACACATCCAGATGCTCACTTCCTCACCGCCAAGTCTCTGCTCCATTGGCCATTCTGAACACCATATTTAAACTTGCGGCCTCATCCCTTCCCCACCCACCCACCCTGTCCTGCTTTATTTTTCTCCATTGCACTTTAACACAGTTTCATTTACTTGTTTATTCAGTTTATTGTCTCTCCTTCAAACTAAAATGTAAACTCCAGGAAGGTAGAGTTTTTATAGCTCTTTTTTTTTCTCCCACCCATATTCTAGCATGTAGAACAATGCGTAGCATAGTGTGGGCACTTAGTAAACATTTGTTAAATGAATTATCTTTCTTTTCTCTACCAAACTTGTTCTCCAAAGTCTGCCACACCTAAACTGAAACAACATGTGTTGAATTTTGATACTGGTACTAGTTTAGTACACAAACTAAATTCTAGAGCACTGATCCATAGTTTTCTGGTGAATGTCACAGTATAACACCTGGAATCATTTGGGTAACAACTCTTGTGGAAGGATTAAGTATAACCCAAGAACTTCATTAAGGAAAGTGACAGATACATTTGGGTGACATCTGGAGACTTAGATTTAGATCCAGGTACCACTTCTGAGAGGGCTATAGGCAGGTAAGAGCACATTCGGAGAAGAGCAGTGGGAATGGTGCGGACATTCCAACCCATTACACCAAAGGCAGGAACGGGGATGATTGGCTTGGAGGGGGAAGAAGATTCTTGAGGAACATGATTCCTTTTTCCAAGTGTTAAAAAAGATCTTATGTGGAAGATTAAGAAGTCTACAGATCTGCTCTCTAGACCTATAATCACCTCCTTATTGCCTTTCATCCCATCCAAAGCAGGTCCAGCTTTTGTGGAACCTGAACATTAGAAGGGAGCTCCTCCTAAGGTAAAAACAAAACAAAACATAGTATAAAGAGTATAAGTATAAATGTATAAAACTATAGGTACAGGCTACGGAAGGT